ATTTGATGGTGAGTACATGTGGTGCTTGTCTTGGAAGGGTTTTAATTCTGTGAGCGAGAGCATCGGATTCACATTTTAGAAAGGACATCCAATTATATTCGCTTCGAGAGCAGAAGTCAAGAAACACGTGTTTAAATTCCAGCAGGAAAGCTATTAGGAAGATTTTTTTAATGGGGGAAAGAGGTGACAAATCTATTCTGGAATCGAAAAAAATAACCTGGCATTTTTATCATTGACGGTCACAGTCTTGCTAAGGGTTACAAGGTTTTTTGTACAATCATGGCTATGGCTTTCACTAGAAAGTTCTCCTTGCAACAGGGAAAATGCTCCAGTCTAGCCGAGCAGCAGTTGTGGAAGATAAACTCGGGCACACAGCGGTGGAGGTAGGAGGGTGGAGATCAGGAAGGGATTCCCGCTGAGAAGTGGGAAGGAAGAGAGTTTACAAATGACCGAAGGTCCGCTACATCACGTGTGTAGTGAGAGGATTCGCCTATGACAAGGACAACATCTAACCTCGCTTTCTTCCCCCCTCAGCGGCTCAGTTCCCGCACGCCTGCAGCCACGAGGCGTGTCCTCGCGCCGAGGTCTCCGAGTCTGGGCGGGGTCTGGTACCTGCCAAACTGGGATCTTGATGGGGACCCGGGCTGGAAGCGTCGAGTTCAGTCTGGGGTCGGAGGTCTCCCGCCCCGCTGCTCCCATTCGCCACACTTAGCAACCTCTGTCCCCAGCAAAGGGGTCTTGTCCTCAGAGAACCTAACCGGGTTTTCTTCCATTTCCTCTGCATCCCTAGATGTCTTCACCCTGGCTCCAAGTGCATCCCTCATCCTTTTTGGTCTGGGACATTCTGCTGATCAGAGCTCCCTGCCCAAGTCCAGCACCCCTGGAGGTGAGGTAGGGTTTGCTGGTGACTCGTTAACCCTTTCCCAGGTGTAGACTGGAAGAAGCCAGCATCCTTCTTACCGCCCCAACTCCAGCAGTCTCAGGACGCCAATGGGGGCACTTCCCTGCACAACCCTGGGGCGGGGGGTGCAGGAGGGCGAGGAGGACGCCCACGTGAAGGGGTCCGGAGACCCCCGGCCCCAGAGCTTGGTCCCGCACCCCGCACTCCGGGCGGGAAGGAGAGGGCATGGAGCCCTGTGTGCTGTGCACGCCAGCTAGCCAGAGTGAGGATGGGGGGGTGCTTAGTGGAAGGGCAGAGAGGGGCAGAGGCAGCAGGTGAGCTGAAGGGCTGTGCCCCCAGGCGGGGAGGCGGGCCGCGGGAGACTCGCGAAGCGAGCACCTTGCAGGGGCGCCGCAGGCGAGGGTCAGGCTAGCAGGGGGTGTGGAGAGGCGAGCCCAGGCGGTGAGACAGGGAGGGGGAGGAGGCGAGGAGGAGGGAGTTCCGAAAGGAGGGAAAGGAGCCGGCGAGGGGCGAGAGGAGCGAGCCGGGAAGGGAGAGCAGCGGAGGGTGGCGGAGCTGCGGGCGCCGAGACCGTGCCACGCACCCCCCGCGGGGCACGGAGGGCTCGGCCGGGGGACACACACAAAGACATGCGAACAGGGGCTGAGCGAGGCTCGCGCACAAAGACGCCGGGGCGCACGGCAGCTCGCGCTGCACCCACCGCCCCCGCGCCGCGCCGAGCCTGGGCCCCGCCAGCTGGGAGCCCGGGGCCGAGCGCGCGGCGGCGGCGGCGGCGGCGGGCAGGCGCGGGACCCGGGTCGCCCGCGCTCTCCGGGTGACCCGGGCCCGGCAGCAGGCGCGCGCGGGGGCGGCGGCTCCCGAGCCCAACTTGGCCTCGGCCTCGCCCTCTGCCCAGCCCGCCGGTGTCCCCTCCTTCCCGCGATTTCGTTTCTTCTCACGCTCCCCCCCACCCCCTCCCGCGTCCAGCCCCGCTCTCCCCACCTTGTAAAACAAAGCCGGGGAAAATGCCTGCCCGTGCAGCTCGGAGCGCGCAGCCCGTCTCTGAATAAGAAGTGAGTACAATGGCGTGTTTGTAAAAAAAGCTTCAAGTCCGTCTTTTTCAAAAAACATTTCGAATGCTGCATGCCTCATGCTTCCCAGCGCCTCGCGGGAGAGACCCGGCTATAGAGCAGGAGGTGAGACCCCCGGGTACCCCCAGCCCCTCCGGCCGCGCGCTCTCCTGCCCCAGCCTGTCCAGGGAGGGCTGCGGATGCCCCGCTCGCAGCAGGCAGACATTCCCCACCTTCGCTTCCCGTCCAAAGTGTTGGGTCATAATCGCGGTTGGGAGGCAAAGCCATCCCCTGATCTTCTCCTGGCCGCTTCTCGCCCCTCTCCCGCCGGTGCCTGGGGTTTTTGCATCTGCCTCGGGAACGGGTTTGGAACACCTTGGGGGAGTTTCCGATGGAGAAGGAGGGTCAGCCCTTGGGAGTAGCCGACAGGCAGGACTCCTGGTGACCCTGGTCACACTTGTTGCCCATTGCGTGGTGGGACAGGCAGTGGTGCTGAAAAAAGCTTGTTTCTCCTGCTATTCGGTGGTCAGTCGCGGCCTGAACGGAGACATATCCGGGTGAGAACCGGAGACCGAGATTGAGAGGAGGCTGTGCTGTCCTGGGGGGAGGGGAGTGGGTAGTGATGGTGCTGAGAGTGCGTGAAGGGGCAGCTTCTTTCCTGGTCGTGCATCAAACGGCGTGGAGATGGAAACCCAGAGGTTCCCCATATTAGCTCAAGAGAAAAAGCTGTCTTACAAAAAATGATTCTGGTATTTCATCAGTTTCTGTCCATTCTGTCTGCCAAATGTGCATTATATGTAGTCTTGCTAATTGAAAAACAAGGCAGCAGCTTAAAAGAATTAAACTCCTTCAGGAATTGTATTAGTTTAATACACACATGCATAATCTTAAAAAAAACCAAATCTGTCTCCTTTCCCCAAAATGCATATAACGGCAATGCCTTGGTGGGATTTTGGACTGGTAGCATCAAGGTAAACAGTCTTGGTGTTTTCTGATTGTGCAGACTGGAAACCAATGATGTGAAAAATCACAAATGTGAGAGCGCAGAGATCTGGAGAGCAGAGGTTTGGAAAGCTTCCTTTAGAGAGAGAATGTGAGCTTCTATGTGATTTTTTTTTTCTTTCAATTTTTATCCCAAAGATGGCTAAATTATAAATTATGACTTTTATTTTTCACTCAGACTCACCAAGCAGATGGGGGTGGTGGTGGTGAGTCTGCAAATGACAGTGATTTTAGCTATTATCAGTATTTCTATCAAAAAAGTTTTTTTTTTTAATTAAACCTTAAAGACATATCCAGTGCTAATTTCAGATGGACTTGTCTTTATGCATATTTTAAAGGTGTCAACTAGTTTGTGTCTTTATTCAGAACAGGTGAATGTATCAGGAGAGAAACGTGTGTATACCTGTATGTAGTAGGTTGAACCTTAGGAAATTGCTGTAATGAGCTGTACATATGTGGACTCTCCACTTGGAGCCATGGGTACAACAACCTCATCACAGCTCTGATTTCATCTCTTCAAAGTCAGAACCATTCTGAGCTTTGCTGGTTGAAGAGCCTCTGGCATCTGCCATGATTTTACAACACTACCTAGGTCTACTGCTTCAAATAGCTTTATTTGCAAAGCTTCTTTTTGATGGGCAACTAAAGATGTATTTTATGAATTCAAACTATGGTAGCTTAAAATTAACTGACAGCGTTAGGCAAGAGGGCAGGGTGGGTAACCGTGTGAAAATTGACACTGTTTATTAGCGTCTTGTCCTCCAGTAATTTCAGGTGCCTGGAGGGTATTTGGGTGCAATTCCATGGAGATTTCTTATATACTTCCCTAAAAGTGTGTTTTAGATTAGGTTATCATTTTATGAAAGCTATCTCGTACACATGATGGCAATTTTACTTAAATCTGTAGCAATTATGAGCTTTAAATTGATTATTCTATTTGAGTTGGTGGTTTTTTTTAAAGTGCCTTATTTTTCAGCCATTCTATTAACCCCTTTTGTTCAGTATTGCTTTTCCAATCAAATATTCTGTAGTAGTTGGATTGACTTCCTCTTAGAAGTAGAAGTCTAATATCTCTTATATTTTCTAAAAAGAAATCCATTAATGAGATTTTTGAACAGCTGAGATAAATAATAAATGGATTTAGAGTCACCTCAGAGTGTATGGGGATTTGTAAGAGAACCATATAAATCCACTCTAATGGAGCAATTAACTTTGAAAAGAGCATGTAGGGTCTAAGGTGTGAACCAAGGTTTTAATTTTATTTTTTCTTGATATTGTTCACTGTTGAAAAGGAAAAAAAACTTGTCTTTTCTTGGCTGTCCCTCAGATTGTGCCACAATGGTCAGCAATAACTTATTTTTTAAACATGTCAGAGGTGGAGTAAAAAAATTTAGCGAATGCTTCATCATGATCCCACTTTGGAGGACAGGCAAAAGGAAATGATTGGACTGTTGAGTGGGTTATTTACCATCATGTTTTACCAGAAAATTAGGAATGATTTCTTTTGAGGAACAATGTTTGCATCACAAACTGTCTTATAATGCAATTCTTTTATTACAATACATTTTAAAACAAAAACAGAGAGTGTTTTTCATATTGATGGCTTGCAGTACAAAGTTCTTGAGAACAGGAATAGACCATGAGCCTTCTTCCTGAGTATTCAAATATCTAGTTTAGTACCATCAACTCCTAGGAGTTGAGTACGTCTTTGTGGATAGCATAGTGGACAGATACAAATTGAGAAATTAATTAGGATGCCCTCAGGCATTCTTTTCTTTTTTTTAAGTTTCTTGATCTGATTCCTGTTTTTTCCCCTCCCATTTGGAACTCCAATAGCAGCAGAGAGCAAAGACCCGGCCCCTTTTTCTTGAACCCGTATATTTGGTCCTGCCTGAGATCTAGTGAGAGCACTCCTGGTTTAGGTTCCAGAGCTTCCACCAGGAGACCAAGCGGAGTTCAGTCAACCTTGGCTGACCCCTTAAAGAAGAAGCCCAACCAATTCCCCTCTAATCTCCTCCAACCTAACCCTCATTCTCTGTTGTTGTCAGTGGCGGCACCTGACTTGCTGGATCCTAAATCTGCCGCTCAGAACTCCAAACCGAGGCTCTCGTTTTCCACGAAACCCACAGTGCTTGCTTCCCGGGTGGAGAGTGACACGACCATTAATGTTATGAAATGGAAGACGGTCTCCACGATTTTCCTGGTGGTTGTCCTCTATCTGATCATCGGAGCCACCGTGTTCAAAGCATTGGAGCAGCCTCATGAGATTTCGCAGAGGACCACCATTGTGATCCAGAAGCAAACATTCATATCCCAACACTCCTGTGTCAATTCCACGGAGCTGGACGAGCTCATCCAGGTAATGAATGGCATGAGAGGACCTGTTACTCCGCTTCTCCTAAGGAGAAAGAAAGAGTAAGATAGGAGGAGGCAACCCGTAGCCCGTTGCAGTGCCGATGTGCTGGTAGGAGCCCTGTCCCACCTCATGCTGATTAGCGTAGGACGCTTTCCCCCAGGTCTTTGTCTCCTTTCTGATTTGCCCCTTCTTCTCTCACATCTGCCATATTTTCTTCTCCTCTTTTACGCCTCCCTCCCACTGTTCCTTCGCATCCTCTTCTGCTCCTGATCTACTGTGTTTCTTTCCTGTTGTCTTCCTGCATTCCTTCCCTGTGCTCTATCTTAGAACTGCCAGTGGACACCCGTGGACTTGGGGTTACCATGCTGGAAGTTACCATCCTGGTTAGGATGATCATTGCTGCGGCAAATGAAAGGAAAATGAAAGACAGAGAACTGCTTTAATCTTGGCAATGGCCGTCATAAAATAGAAAAGTTGAATTTTGTGATGTGACCTTCTTGAGATGGTTACCCCTCATGGTTAACAACCTGTAGCCCACGTCTCTAATCTAGACAAGGTATAACTCTGATAACTGCCCTTTTTTAAGTGTCTTGGGAGCAGTGATTAATTATTGCTTCTCTAAACCTCAACTAAAAAAAATTTACTACTACATAGAAAAATAGGGTTTTTGAATAAAAATTAATATTACTCTATAACAGCAGAACAACATCTTTACGGAAAAATGTTTTAACAGTTAATCCCAAAATGATTTGTAAGTTTCAGTTAGGCTCTTTGGAGATGGCTACGTTTTTGTTGTAGATCTCTTCTGCATGAAACAATCCATTGGTCAAACCAAGAATCTTGGTCAAGAAAAAAGCCCTAGAATTTTCTTACAAGGAGAGACCTGACTGGCTGTTGAAAAGTTTTAATTGTACATGTTTATTTTCCTATAGAGCCTACATTTCTTACCTGGTTTTATTCAAATTAGACTGAAGATTTATCTGTGAGTCATCATCTGAGCATTTTCTTTATTTTATATTTGGTTTTATATCATTTGAATGAGCTGGAGTAGTAGATTGAGGGGAAAAAAAATTATTGGTTTTAATCCTGTTTTTTGTTCTAGGACATTTATTGTCATTTTCTCTTGCCACGGGTCCCCAAATGCTCCCTCTGCCTTTCAGTGCCCTCTCTATTTATTATAGTGCACACATACCAGTCCTTATTCAAGCTTTGTTGAAAGCTATCACAGCTAATATTCTTTGGCACTTATTTAATTCTTGTCACATTCAGCCATTTCTGCATCTAACACATTTGACTTAAATTTTGATAATACTCTTCGCTTAGGTACTGAATTCTCTACTATTTTTAGAGGATGGTGACATTTTTGGTATTGAGAGTGAACCTGCTAACGTTATTGTCCCAAACACCTCCTTCCCTGATCCTATGTCATATAACTTTCTCTTCACTGAATCTATGTGCCACGTAATCTTATAAGGTGCTAAAAATCTTTGAAGAATAATCTCCACTTCCCTTGGGTTTTAGAAGAGGAGCTCTTGGTTGTCTTGGGGGAGGCAGCCTGGAGTAGTGGTAAAAGCTTGAACTTTGGGATGAGATAGGATGTGTTTCAAACATCGGTTGAGTGCTTTATTAGAAGTGTCATCTAGAACAGATACTTTTCCTCTCTAAGCCTTAAATGATCTATCTGGAATCAGGAAAGAGTCCCTTCCAAGTAAGATAGTTGTAAGAGTAAGGAGACAGTCCATGTATAATAAACCATTTAGGTACTCAAAAAGTGTTAGGGTTGTTTATTGTTGTTTTTTTTCCTTTTCTTTTATTTTTTTTTTCTGCCTCTCTCTTTTCCCTTTACTGGGTTGTAGCCTCTGATTCAGGTAGTTGCATTCTTATCACCCGGAGTGAGATGATTGATCTTGGGCAGGAGAAATCAAATGACTAGAATTTTAGGACAATGCTAGAGGAAACCCTATGTGAATTTGCAAATGTCCTCACTGTCCAGTATTACCCAGTTTATTCAGAACTCTGAAAATAACTTGAAGGTTGTGGCAGGTAGGAGCAATCTGATAGTGAATATTGATCATTTTTTGCTATATTGTTTTTGGAATGGGCACAAACAGAGCTCAAAATATGACCTAATATTTTTTCTTTCTCTCTGCATGGCAATCCATTAATATCTATTATTAGTATTCGCTGCTCATTGAGTATTTTTGCTTCTTAAAAATCTTTTTTTTTGTGCTTATTATATTTTTTAATGAAGAAGTTGCCTGTTATTTATTGTCATGTCACTCACCTTTATATTTTTTCCTTGAATATAATTTGTTTGGATAAAAGAAATCTTTATAATGTTATGGCTTCAAGGATCAAGGTCAGTGTGTAAATAGGGAGGAAGGCAAATAAGCTCATAATCATTTATTTGAATGACATTTCCTTCATATGATTCTCATAAATTTTCAAGTGTTCTCCTCACATTTATTTTCCCATTTAATCATCCTTAAAACCTTGTGATTAGGTATATTAGTCAGTAACATCACATCAGTAAGGATTAGGTAACTAAGACACAGAAAGTCCAGGTGATTTACCCCTATAGCATTACTAGGCTGAAAGTTCAGGTCTTCAGAATGTTGGTCTGGCATCATTCCTAGGAGTCCCTGTTCTTTCAGGGTTTACTTTCTTTCAGTGTTAAAGGGGGAAGTAGTTGGAGCGGTGAGCGATTCGGTTCTAGTGTTGGTGGTGAAGAAATTCTGTCTTCCTTTAATGGAGAGTCGGAAAGGAAAAAGTGAATAGTCAGATGATAGGCCAACATCAGGTGCAGTTACTACAATCTGATCGCAGGCCCCAGGTTATTAATTACTCCTCTGGACAGATTACGGCAACCTGATTCCATGCTGTGGTTCTGTCGCAGGCTGGGGTGGGGGAGCTGAGGGAAGAGACAGGGAGTGGAGCGAAAGTATCTGTTTCTTCTGTTACAGAAAACGTGTGTAGCTCCAAGTGCTGTTTTTGACACCAGCCCTCCAAGACAAGATTGAGGAGGGGCAGAGATATCAAAACAGAGCTACCTTTGCTAGGCTGAGATGTTTTGAGCAGTGTGATTGTCAACTTCCATTACATTTAGATTAATGTGTTATCGGTACAGAAACATATAAAAAACATTTTTTAAGTTTTAAGAGTCATGGATACCATTAATGATAGCCAAAATTTAATGAGCACTTACTATGTGCAAGGCACCATTCTAACCCTTTACGTGTATTATCTTATCTAATTCTCTTAAACAGCCCTGTGAAGTAGGTGCCTTATTATCTGTATTTAACTTATGTGTAAACTGAGGCAGGAGGAGCCTCATTTGCCAAGAGTGCACAGTGGTAGAACTGTTATTCAAACCTAGGTGGGTAGACGCTAGAGCTTATACTCTTAGCTCGTATATTGACTGCCTCTAAAGAAATTTACTAAACATTTGATGTAAAGTTCCCTGTTATTCCATGTATTAGGGTGTAATGAATATTAAATTATAGTCCTTTGTACATAGTGATGTATATTGTGTATCTCTCTTTCCAAAATGGAGACTATGTAACTGGATCTTAATATTCTTTCTGGACAACAGGATTATATAGGTGTTTTCCTGTCTGGATGTGGTAAAACAGTAGCAGCATGGTTCCATCAGACACACCTGGTCTTTAATCCTGTTATTTCTGTGTTATCTGAATCAATTATGGGATTAAAAAGAAAAGGCAAAATCTATGATCTATATATTGATAATAAAAATACCTTATGGGAGATTTGACTTTTGTTTCCTAATTTGAGCCACGCCCCTCAGTGAGCTAGGTGGGGAAGATGTTCTACCCGTTTTTGCATGAAGAAGCTGATGCATATTTGTACAAGGTGATCTGGTGGCCTTAGATCTTTGGGGTCTTCTTGCTGAGGGGATTGTATTATCTTTGCACTATTCCTTCTTCTCATGTTGGTTCATTCAGTGGCATTCATTGAGGACCTCCAATGTGTTGACCTCTGGGTTGGGTTTTGAGCCAATTAAAGTGGTAGAAAAAATAGGGCTTCTCTCAAGGAGCTCCATCCTACGCAGTCAGGCATAGTTGCAATAGAAGTCCTTACATATTGGAGATGGAGGTGCTACAGATCTCCAAATCTCCGTTTCTCCTGGGGCACTGAGGAAGAAATTAACCATTTAATGACAGTGAGTAACACACAGAAGAAGAAGTAAAAGGAACACTGGATTTCAGGGTGCATCTGAGTGCTCCAGGGGCAGAAAAGGGGACCGGTGGGCATTCAAGGTGGAATGGGCGTGGTGTGCTCCACTACCTGAGTACCTGGACATGAGCAGTTCTAACAGTAGACTGTGGCCTGTTCCACACCAGAGGGGTGGGCTTTATCCTAGGCCTATTCTCCTCCACCTGGAGTAGATGTGCCCTGGTTGGCTGCGCCTCAGAGGATACTTGGAGCCAAAGGATAAATAAATAAACATGCCTTCCTAGAATGCCAATGATACTAGCCTTTAAAAAAAACCCAAACATTGTTTTATATTAATTCTATAATCACCGATTCAAAAGTATTCATCGAATGCCTACTATGTACATTGTCCTAAGCCCTGAAATGCAGTGGAGAATAAAGCAGATGAAAATTCTTACCATCAGGGAGCTTACATTTACCGGAGGAAGATGTTATATAAGACAATGATAAGTTTTGGAAGTAAAATGAAAGCATGAAGGAGCATAGGAAATGTTGGATGATGTTGGTGATTAATTTCAGATGAGGTCACTAGGGAAGCTTCACTGATAAGGTGACTTTTAAGTAAAGGGAGCGAGGGAACAAGCCAAGTGGCTCTCTGGGGAATAACATTTTTTGTCCTAGGGAATGAAAAGAATAGGACTCCCATTCCCACTTTCCTGAGATGGGGAGAAGAGTGAAGAAGAGCCTATTTGGAGCATAATGTCAGGAGCTTAGTTTTGGACATTGCACAAATAGTATCAGTCAGACAGGTTTCAGTTAGGGAGGAGGAG